CATTTTTTATACTAACGCTGATCGTGCTGCTGCTTCATTCTGTTTTTTATGATTTGTTCAAGCCTGTCTTTTCCAATGCTGCGCGGATGCCTGTCCGGTCAGCCTGGAAAATCTTTTACTTAACCTTAGGTATTTATTATTTTTTCATGACGCTGATGATCAGCTTCATCAATCAAATGAACCGCAGATATGGCCCGGGTGTACTGGTTCCTTTGTTGCTTGGCCGGTATAGAAACCCAAGGGAAGAAGAAAGAATTTTCCTCTTCATGGACTTAAAATCATCTACTTCTATTGCTGAAAATTTGGGGCACATTCAGTATAGCGCATTTATCAGGGATGCATTCAGCGATATCAACCAGGACATTGCTGAATACAACGCTCAGATTTACCAGTATGTGGGCGATGAAATTGTTCTTACCTGGCATACAAGAGAAGGATTAAGAAATTTTAGCTGTATTCGATTTTTCTTTGCCTGTGAAAAACGGCTACATGGAAGATCACAATACTATCAGCAACATTATGGTTGGATACCAGAATTTAAGGCAGGCCTTCATGAGGGCAAAGTCACAGCTGTGGAAATTGGCGAAATTAAGCTCGAAGTCGCTTACCATGGCGACACAATCAACACGACGGCAAGAATCCAAAGTGTTTGTAACGACTATGGTAAAACGCTGCTGGTTTCTGAAAACCTCCTGCAAAAATTAACCACGCTGGGAGATGGCTTTGAATCGGAACCATTGGGGGCTATCCAACTCAAAGGGAAGGCAGAAGATATTACGATATACTCGGTTAGGAAGACGATTTCATGAGGTCAGCCGAATTATATGCGACCGATCTATCCTTCTCACTCTTGAAAAATTCCAGGCCTACTACCATCTCCAATCCCAATATGAAGATCACTACCGACCCAGTAATCCTGAGCTGGACATCGATTGATTTAAGCAAGACATACTTGACGAGCTATATATCCCAAAGCCTGGAAGGATTTTGAAAGTGGGATGAAAAGTAGTATAAACAAGACATCGACATTTTTTGTGAATGGAAAGAAGTTTGTGTTGATAAGCCGATTCGGTATTCACATTTATTGTAGTACTTTATTTGGACTTAATAGCACCACACCCGAACTTCGCGTTCGTCGTAGCTGCAGCGACGATCCTCACGCGAAGTTCGGGTGTGGTGCTATTAGATTTTCCCGACATTTTCCCCGACAAGCAAGTTGGAGCGCCATCTTTTAAAGTTATATATAATTGTTGTTAATTATATGTACTTAAAATAATTATTGAAAGTCCACGATTTCTCCGACAGTATTAAAAGTTATAATAACATTGTACCAACTAAATTAATCTGAAAAAATCTTGAATTTTGCCACTTTATTTTGAAAATTTCTGATTTAACCTTTTTGGCTTGGCGAAAGACATAAAAATTCCGTTGCAGGAAGAAAAAATATAATTACTCTAATAATTTTTATTATAAAGCCAGTTTAAATCTGAAAAATTCATTTTTTTATGGCTTTTAGTATGAAAAATTCCTTAAATTGAGTAATAATTAAATTTTAGTGGGAAAAATTCTTAGGCCCTTTGTCGAGGAAGTCTTATTTGGTTCATCAAATAAAACTGAATCGGCCAAAATAAGCTCATTAGAGAAAAAAGGGACTATCAAAAAAATAGCTCCAAGGTTATATACATCCAATTTGACAGAGG